ATATATATATATATATATATATATATATACACACTGTGTATATATATATATATATATATATATATATATATATATATACATACATATGTATGTATATATGTGTGTATGGTTGTACATACACTTATGCAGTTGTTTTTTTGGTGTTTGGCTTAGTGTTATGTTAGAATCATTATTATACTCTTATACCTTTTGTTCTTTAATATTTTAAATTGTTTTTAGCTTTATTTTTAGTTTTTCATTTAAATGTTAAGTTTTTATGAACTTTTGTTGTATGCATTTGTCATTTTTATTTAATTTCTTTATTTTTAAAATGTGTATAAGTAGTATTTATAAAGTTTTAGCTTTTAGTTTTGGATCAGTTTTTAGTTGTTTTAATACTACAATTGATTGCTTCTGTTGTCCTCATTTGTAAGTCGCTTTGGATAAAAGCGTCTGCTAAATGACTAAATAAATAAAAATAAATAAATAAAGCAGCGCAGCATGGCCTCGCCCCCTTTGCTGCCTTTTCCAGATGGTGGGGTTTATCTGGGTTTGTGATGTCACGAACCCGGGAAGCAACTCGTTGTAGTCCCATCCAGCCATTTTTGTAGGCATTAAACTGCCAGAATTTTAAAAGACGATATCTCCGCTTGCATTGAACTTTCAGCTTCGTAACTTTGCAGATATTGTTTATGCTCAAACAGCAACATTTCACACTAACTAATGTTAAAAAAGTGAAATCGCAATCAACCACCCCTTTAATTTGTTATAACATTGACAATATTACTGTTTTTACTGTATTATTGATCAAATAAATGGAGTCTTGGTGAGGATAAGGATAAATGGAGTCTTGGTGAAGAAAAGAGACTTTCAAATATAGTCAACATTTTTAAACTGTAGTACATGTTCAGTACCATATTAAATGTACTTTCATACTTGATATTAATGCTTTCATTGCAAAGTCATTAACATATTTAAATAGCTATTTACAAAGTAGAAGATCATACATTTGTACGTTCCATTTAATGTTTACTTACAGTTTTATTTTAATTTGGGAGGGTCAATGAAACATTATGCTCAACCTGGGCTTCTTAACTTTAGCTAACTTCAACTTAATATTGTATTTTTCTTTGACACATATCTTCATAAAAATTAGCTTGTGAGCAAACAATAACTGAAGGACCCCTGCTCCAAAACATTCAAAAACAATCTGTTCCAAATTTCCCACTCTGCTACCAGGAGTCGCCTGATCATTAAAGCACTATCTAGGGGTCCTGTAACATGAGACGCATCAAAACTGGTTGAGGACTGACATGACCAGAGCAAAGAAACAGAGGGAAGAGAAAGAAAGAAAGGTGTGTGTTACCATTAGCAATGCCTGCTCCTGCAGTAATTGCTGCTGCAGTATCTCTAACTGCCGCTGCTCTTCCTCCAACTTATGTCTTATAAACTCCTATAGAGAGAGGGATGGAGACAGAGAGAGAGAGAAATGGGGAGCAGTGGAGGAGGAGGAAGAGACGGATCAGAATAGACTCACAAGGATGGAATAAAAAGATATTTGAGGGAGTGGACAGATACACCTGTCTGTGCAGCCTCTGAAGAAAGAGGCAGACATTTAAAGAGGTGTTTCTGATGGGCTTTTTTAAAATGGCTGAAGACACTTCGATGGAGTGAAGAGATTTATTCCACACGTTTCATTCACCTTCTGCGGTAGAGCCGTAACGTCACACCACTTTATAATCTTAAAATGGCGTGCAGCGAGTGTTTACAAGTGGTTCCTCTCACTCTGAGGAATGTGTTGCGTATGCGGTTGTCTTAAGGAGGACAACTGAAGGAAGCGTGATGTGAGGCATGTACATGTGAGGTCGTTTTGAAGAGTGTGTCCTGTGGCACATTGTGCACCAATTCATTCTGATTGGTCTTTTGTGTTTCTGTCAGTTTGAATTGTATTGAATGTAGGGCTGCACACGGCTCGCTCACACACACACACACACACACACACACAGCGTTTGAGAGCCTGCTGCCATGGCAACCACTCCACAGACATTCCAGGGCCAGAGCTGTGCTGAGTGGAACACCCACGCTCTGACGTGATTGGCTGGCTGGCTGCAGCTCTGTGTCTGTGATTGGTTACCTGCTCTCTCTCTGCCATCCTCCTGTCCTCCTCTCGTCTCATGTCATCAAGTCTACGGTGAGGAGCTTTATCCTGTTGCTGCCGCACCATCTCTCTCTCCTTCCTCTGTTGCTGTGCGTGCGTGTGTGAGAGAGAGAGAGAGTGAGTCACTTTAACATATTTGGCTGAAATAATGAGAGCCTTCCTGTTGCTAAAATCATCGAGTGCTTTTGAGAGGGGAAATTAAGGGGCGAGAACAAGTAACGTAGCCACAGAAAAGACAGAAATGAGAGAAAGCGAAAGTGATTAAGGCACTGGGCACCGTTATGGTGAGAGAGAGGGCGAGTATAGCGATACTGGTGAGTCAGTGCTCTGCGGCGCCGTATTCAGTAGGTTAGTGGCTAGATGGTGCTGTGTGCTGGTGTCACCCTGAAGATGGCCTACACTGTGTTGGGAAGGTTACTTTGGAAATGTAATTAAATGTAAGTTAACCTATTTAAAATGCAATAGTAGTGTAACTTTTTCAATTACTTTATTAAAGTAATGTAACATTACTTTTTGATTACTTTTCTAAATTTCTAATGAATGTTTTCAAATGTTACTCATTTTCAAACATTTACACCATGCAGGGTTAACCTTACGGCATGTGCTCAACACTGATTACTGTCAGACTTTCAAAAACGTTCATCACTTCAATTAACATGATAAAATTTGAACACATCCACCACAAAATCAGACTTTAGTACTGCCTTTTACTTTGAGATTGCACAGACACACGCAGAACGTGCAGGATTCATATGGTCTTTTTGCGGATTAATATTTACAGACACTAGTCCACATCGCGTTTTGATTCAAGTGTACTGACCTACTTTTGATTTATTAATCCATTTATACATTCCACGTTATAGGAATTCAGTTTTTATGACTGGATTCTCCGAACCACTCCGTGTTTTCCGCATCGTGTTTACCGTATGTCTCAAATTTTAGAGTAGTCAGTGCAATTTGGGAAAGAAATAAATTAAATCTGTATGTGGATGTGTGTAAATATTCAAATGTAACCCCCTTTGTAATCGTTAACACTTTCATAAGTAACTAATTTAATTACACATTTTTTCTTAGTAACTGTAACTGATTACAGTTACATTTATTTTGTAATTAAATTACATAACGCCGTTACATGTAACTAGTTACTCCCCAACACTGCCTACACAGTATGGAACTCTGGACAATAAACCTAAATTCTGACATTCCCAACACAGAAGCAATTTTATTTTATAGTATAATAATTCTTAAACACCTTAAAAGTCTGAGACCACTGGTGAAATTTTTTTTTAAAAATACAATTGCTTTTATTACAAATTATACTATTACTACAGTTAACTCCTCATTTTTGTGTAAAACCTGATGATCATTTTCTTTAAACATGATTTGAGAAGGTCCAAAGAAGATCTTGTGCTTCAATGGAAGATCACCTGACCGTCTGTACAAAGAGTCACATGATCAATGACACAAAAATACTTACTTGATTAGTGACCTATAAATAGTGCAGAAAAGTATCATCATTATTATTCATTACTGTTGAAAAGTTTGGAGTCATAAGATTATTAAATATTTTTGAAAGAAGCCTCTTGTGCTCAACAATGCTGCAATTATCTGATCAAAAATACAGTGAAAACTGAAATATTGTGAAAATATTGAAAATAACAGATTTTTATTTGAATATATTTTAAATGCAATTTATTCCTGTGATGGCAAAGCTGAATTTTCAGCAGTCATTATGTCAGTCTTCAGTGTCATTTCTTATTATCAATGATAAAAACAATTGTGCTGCTTAATATTTTTTGGATAAATTTAAAGATTCTTCTAAAGGAAAGTAAAAAAAAAACAGCATTTAATATAATAAAAGTATTATACATAATATAATATAATAATATACATAATTAAAAGTAATTTCTTTCAAAAAAATTTAAAAAATCTTAGACACCAAACTTTTTAATGGGAAATATTTAAGCTCAAAATATTTCTGTTTTATTTTTCTCATATATTCAATATGGTCTCAGATTTTTGTACCCTACTATATATAGTTATTTTTGCTGTATTCTATAGCCCCCAGCAAATATGTCTTAAACCCACATGGCCTTGATTTAATTGGCTTAGCTGTAAGGGGCTTGACTTTGAGAATCTCTCTTATACTATAAAGGCAGACATGAATATAATGGCTTGTGATGCTTAGTACATAACAAATACACACACTCCTGTGTGTTGTGGCCTATTCATCACCCCATGCCTCACTCAGATAATGCAGTGCTAATCAGCCATTGTGTCCTTTCACAGTCATTCAGTGACAATGACCGCTCAAACTAATTCAATTAAAAGTTTGACTTTGGCACAGTATAAAGAGTTCTCACTCATTTACTTTGTTCGCCTCTCTCAATTCGAGAAAAACAAACAAAAAAACGAAATTCCACAAATACTTCCTTGCGTTCAATCTAATGAAGAGAGCCCAGTTCCAGATAAGAGAAAAATGTTCAGCACTTCAAACAAACACTGCTGTAAAACTTCTGGCTCTGAAGTATGCGTTTTATTTAAAACGTCATGGAATATTCTAGGACAGGAGATAAAATCTAAAATACCTAAATGATTAAATCACCAAACAATGAAAACGGTGTCTTTATTTACTTATCATTATGTCATTCTGAACCTGTACCACTTTTCAAGAATACACTTTTTTTAAGTGTCATTCAAGTCATATGATAGCTTTGAATGATGAATAGATCAGGATTTAAGTCATTTTGTAGTTTGACCGTCCTTGTCATTTATTCATTTTCATTATAATGAAATAATTGACCAAGATATTCTTCAAAAATTCACATTTGCACTCCATGAAGGAAAGGAAGTGAAGAGTTTGGAGCATCATTTCTGGTGAACTACCACAATAATCTTTACAAAAAAAATTATTTGGCAAGTATGTTTATACTGACACCTTACATGATTGGCACTCTGCCCTTGTCATTTCCTGTGAGTAAAGAGATCATGTTCAGTTGCATCAATGTGCACGTGTAAGCATGTGTACCTCCTCCAAGCGACGCCTCTGTTCTTTCTGCTCCTCTATCCGTTTCTGTCGGTCATGCAGCAGCTGGCGTTTGTGCTCCTCAGGGTCTCTGCGCTGAGCGGCGAGCTGTGCCTGCTGTCTCTTTAAGGCCTCTGAGCGCTCCTTATTCTCCTGCTGCAGCCGCAGGAAATCCCTCCGCAACGTCGACTCACCAGGAACATTCAAAATAGAGCTTCAGACAGACATAAACAGAAACCGAGAAGAGTTAACAATTATAAACAGAGCAGAGGTTGGGCAGTGAAGACAAAGTTCTGTGGTTTTCAAGGAGGATTGTACAGCACGTTCATTTCTCTCTCAGTTACATCAGTGTCATGTATGCATGTGCAAATGAGTAAAAGGATTGATCCTTGTTGAATGATATGGTAAAGCTTTAACGGAGCATTACGAAGAACCATCTATACAGATACAACAAATCCATTAAGAGTGATGGTGTAACTTCTGCCCCAAAGCATCAAACACAATTACAAAAATAACAATTGTTTAAACATTTTTTTGAACATGATGAACACGAAAGTCCCACCACAAACAAACAAAAGCTTACTTATACTTGACTCATTCAGTCATCTACAGACAAGTCCAATTCAAGTCTCAAATCTTTTCTCCCAAGTTATTTTTTAATCAAAAGATACATTTCATTCAAGTAGTCTCATGTAAGTTATGTACTAGTTCAAGTAAAGTCTCAAATCAGATATCTACTAGTTTGTCAAGTCTCATGTCAGTTATAAACTAGTTTAAGTCAGTTTACATTAAACTGGGTTAGGAGAGTGCTTTTAAACATCATAAAATGTACGCACATCACAGAAGCTCCCCCTGGGAAGATTTGAATTGCAATGTTATTGACATTTTGTGTTAACTCACTAAATTAACGGTGTGATCTTAGGAGAGTAATAACATTGCAATTCAAATCTTCCCAGGGGGAGCTTCTGCAGTGTTGTGTAGTGCTATGTAGGGTTGTTTAAACATATGCTGCTGTGTTTACCTGGATTCTCTCTCATCTCCTCTGTTCTCATCCTCTTCATCACTACCGCTGTACTCATACTCGGTCTCCTCTGAGAAGAATCAAGACAAAATGAGAAAGAGAGAGAGACAGCGGGAGGGAGAGGAGGGCAGGAAAATAACAAGAAAGGCTTTAGGCATTAATATAATATGGCTAAACAGTTTATGCAGACTGCAGCACTTAAGAGTCTAAATCATCTGCACTCTTCTTTAACTTATACTGTATGAGCTCTAATAATACTGCTGAAGGCTGCTGGCTGGATGCTTTCGATTTTTAGCTGTTCCTCATTCTTCATATCCAGAAATAAACACAATTCAAGCCCAGCTGTGCCATCTGATTATACTACTGACCACAGATCTAATGAATCGCTCTAAGCTACGCGAGTTATGTACAAGCACCACTTTTGTGGTCCAAGTCAAAGATGAGCTCTGATTGGATGGGAGTTTTAGTGAACTCACTGCACAAAGGCAAGTAAACAAACTTTATTAAACATTCTGTTCCACCACAAAACTCCAGTGAGCAAATGGATGGATACATATTAGGGGTGCAACGGTTCAACTTGCTCATGGTTCGGTTTGTATCACGATTTTTTTGAGTCACGGTTTCGGTACGGTTCGGTATGTGCTATGTTTAGGGGAAAAACTATATTGTCAAATAAAAATAAAGAAAATAAGAACAAATAATCTAACTACAAGCAACAGCGCAAATAAATAAACAGTGAAAAAAGATACAAATAAAATAAACCGTGCTTTTCAGTTTTTTTTAGGTAGGTCTAACATAGTTTTTAGGTACAGAAATTGAATAAATCAAATGTAAAATAACATTGCATATTTGACTATAAATTAAAGATTAATCCTTATTAAAGTTACAAAAGTTATTCAATCAAGAGCAGTGAGTGATTTCTTTGTTGTTGCTGTTTGATTAACATTAAGAAAGTGCTGTCACTTTAAGAGAACGCACTGATCCAGTGCACTGATACTGTACGTTCAGCCGACTATGTCTGCTATAGGATACTCACCAACACGGGCATTTTGACAATTTTTGTGTGAATTTGTCCATTCAAACACAATACTTCACAGAGAGCTTAATATTTGCACATGTTCTGAGACGCGGGTTCACGCGCTTCGGATGAGCGACCACACAGATCTTCTCACTGCGTGCGTCAGTTCACGTCTTCTGGCTCTTTACCATTTAAACTGGCAAGGCTTAAATGAGTTTAGTTTAAACACAGATAGCAACGTGTGCTGTTCAGGTCTCACCTGCGCTATCAACACGTGATGACAGCATAAATGACAGTTATTCCAGCATAAAGCACTCGCATTGATTAAAGAGTGTCTGGTTTGTCCACGTATTGTTTTTTTCTCTCATTGCTCTTGTTGTAATGTATTGGGAAGCCAGAATTTGTATACATTAACAGAAACATGCATTAGCCGAACTCTAACAAACCATATTACAGATGCATTGTCAGATTTAAGTTGAACCGCGGTCCTAGTGTATGCCGAACCGTGTGTGGAGAACGGTACGGTTCGATTTTTTACCGAGAACCGTGGCACCCCTAATACATAATAATCTATAGTCCCAGAGGAGCCAGTACATCTATCCTGACTCTGAAAACAAAACAAATTCAAATACTGAATTAATTATTGAACACTTGAATGAGAAAATGTGGAACAGAAAGATCCTGTCTAGGGATTCTGGGATTAATAAAGCTCTGTTGTTCTTGTATTTTGTCTACACACAACACACATGCACATACCTTTTTCGCCGCGTTTCTTACGCGTGCGGTCGATGTGATCTTTGAGCTGGATGCGGACTTGTCTCTCAGTGGGCTGGTCTCTGATGAACGAGTGCTTCAGTAGCTGCTCTGTGGATGGACGACTGGGATATGACTTCACGAGACAGCCCTCGATGAAATCAATAAACTTCTTAGACCTGAAAGACACAGTAAACCATGCAAGAAGTGAATGTATTAGCTGGAAAATAAATTCAAGACAAAACCTGATTATAGACTGATATTGTACAGGGCAAGAGGGAATGCCCTGCAGGCCTCAGGCCAGCACGAACGCTTTTCAGGTCAGTTGCTGGTACGGCTGCTTGATCTATCGGGCAAATGCTGCATTGACAACATCACTCGTTGACAAAGTAAATTTCTTTTTATGCCATGAAAACACAGGGTTTTCTGTTTTGAATGGAATTCTTCTTGCTGTGAATCCTACTGATTTCTAGGTCACTAATCACAAAAGTAAAGTCAGCTGAAAAAGGGCTAATAAGTTGTAACAGTCTTGGAAGCTACAGTTAGAAGAAGCTGAAAATGACTGATAAATCAGCAATATTTCACACTGTACACGACAGTTATATAGTTATATTATTATTACAGTAAATTGTAAAATATTTTGTAAGTAAATTAAAGTAACTTGTTTTGTTAAAAACACATTTAATAAAAAAAAATGAATGCACCAGTTGTGTTTGGGGATTGTAAGATTTTTTTTTGATGTTTTTGAAAGAAGTCTCTTATGCTCTTAAACACTAATAATGAGAAATATTATTAAAATAATGGTTTTATATTTGAATATATGTGATGGCAAAGCTGAGTTTTCAGCAGCCATTACTCCAGTCTTCAGTGTCACATATGATTTTATTTGAGAAATCGCTTTTTATTATAAATGTTAAAAACATTGTATTGTATTGGTTAACATTTTTGAAAAAATTGATTTTTGTTAGGATTCTTTGATAAATAGAAAGTTCAAAAGAACAGCATTTATTTGAAATAGAAATCTTTTGTAACATTATAATTGCCTTTACTGTCTCTTTTCATTTAATGCACTCCTTGCTGAATAAAAGCAACAATTTCTTTTTTTTAAAATCTACTTTTAAGCAATGTAGAAGAGATTTCTTCCTGTCACATTAATAATATATTGCTAATATATTGCTAAACCAGATAAACTCCTGCTTGATGAGATAGCTTAACTTTTCATTTCAAATTTTAAAGAAAAAAAATCTAAATCAAACAAAAACAGACAGAAAACATGGAAAAAGGTCAAAGAAAATGGCTGTTTTAAACAGGAAGCAGAATATCTTATTCAAAATAGCTAACAAGACACAATGCAGTAAACTGAAACATGGCTGCCTTCTAAATCCCAGACTAACATACGCTCCATCTCTACTTCTTATAGCCAGCTGTTCAAGGGCAGGGCTCTGACCAGAAGGACTAAAATAACTCCAACCCGAAAACTAAATCACAGCATGCCAATATATATACAACTACAACCAACCAACAGAAAAAAGAAAAAAAAAAACAGCAGAAAATGTAGGTAGAAAGAGAAAGCATCTTTCATCATACAAAAGCACTCTACAGTGGTGTGAAAAAGTGTTGGCCCCCTTCCTGATTTCTAATTTTTTAGCAAGTTTGTCACACTTTAATGTTTCAGATTATCAAACAAATTTAAAAATTAGTCAAAGATAACACAAGTAAACACAACATGCAGTTTTTAAATGAAGGTTTTTATTATTAAGGAGGGAGGCCCAACCAGTTATTGGGTTTTGGGGGCAAACACTTTTTCACACAGGGCCATGCAGATTTGGATTTTGTTTTCCCTTAATAAAAACCTTAATTTAAAAACTGCATGTTGTGTTCACTTGTGTTATCTTTTACTAATATTTAAATTAGTTTGATGATCTGAAACATTAAAGTGTGACATGCAAAAAAATAAGAAATCAGGAAGGGGGCCAACACTTTTTCACACCACTGTATATGTGTGGAGATGTAGCAAACACTGCAACTCCTGTCTGAAAAACATTATTAAACAAGGAAACCACATATGAGAAGAGAAGCTATATAGATTGCAGCGATAATAAGTATGCAGTGCGTGTATATATAGACAAGGGAAAAAAGTGAGGAAAGGAAGAAGGAAAATATAGCTTGATCTTAAAATAACAGCTGAGACAGTGTGTCCTCACCATTTCTTGGACTTCAGTTTAGGAGGAGGGTTCCGTGGGATAAGGAACAAAGCTCGCATGGGATGCATGTCACACAACGCTGAGGGAAAGAGCACAGCAATCAAACACGCTGATAAAAGACTCTTTCACCCAATGTGCCCAATTCTCAGACTAACTGACTCAAGAGGTGACAACAATTCATTAACGCAAGTAGAACAGTGACTGGGTCGCTGCTACATGCTGTCCGTGTGAGCGTGTGTGTGTGTGTGTGTGTGTGTGAGAGAGAGAGAAAATATGACTAAGTGTTGTGCTGCATAAGTTATGACAATGAAGCACAGATTGACATCCACCTCTGATTTTCTTTTTCAGGAGTGTGAAATATCACAAAAAAAATTTGTTTAAATTGATTTACATCTGGGTAATCTAGGCACTGAGTTTTTATTTAATTTTTTAATATATAACTATTTTTTTATTGTTACTGCTTTTGTTTAACTGGCATAACAGGGGAAGAGGGAGGTTTGGTATTATTGTTTGTTTGCTTGCTTGGTTTGTAAAACGTGAAATGCCTAAAGTAATTTATTTACTTTATTTTATTTTTTTAAGTTATACCATACAACAGTTAAGGCCCATTTACACCAAGGATGAAAATTCTAATGATAACAATAAGGTTTTAATAATCATTCTGATTCTATGAAAAAAGGGAAGCCCACATAAAAACTATAATGACTACGACACAGTGTAACAATTGGTGCTGTGTTCGATACAGCTGGCCCTGTATCGATATTGTGGCACGTGTGCAGCAGTGGACCACCCTTAATTTGAATACAAGAACAATGTTTAAAATAGAGTAGAAAAGTGCGAGGTTTCTAAAAAATAATGAATATAACATAATATATAGGCTACAAGGATTAATCTGGACAAAGGAACACAACTGGGTTGCCTGATATAAAGAGACGTAATCCCCGAAACAGAGCTTACGACTTGCGCAATACGAAATATCTGCCAAGTGTGTTACTTATCTTTGTCAACCTGGCAACCCTGTGCACACGCGCTCTCCACTGTGGATAAACGCGCTTGCTCTCTGAAAACTAGGGATGGGCGATACCCCTTATTTTGTTTTCGATACAATACCGATATTTTTCAAGGCAATATCGTCGATATCGATTCGATACTTCTGCACTAAACTTTTAAATTATGAAATTGATTAAATTACTACAAGTAAAATGGGTAATGAAAACCACTTAACTATGTTTAAAACGCATTTTAACCCGTTTAATCCCAAATTTTTCCCAGACATGAAAATATCCAAATGATGTGTCATTAGTAACCCTTTGAAATAATCAATAAAAACATTTTTTTGGAAAAGTGTGTGAAAATTTTTATTTTATGGTCAGTCACAATTGTAACCGGTGGGATAATGTGTATACTGAATTAACATATTTCTGCAATCTTAAAAATTGTTATATATCTTAGCCCAGCTATTTTAAACTGTTTGATCACATTCTAGGGTTACTATTATGCATAAAAAACCCTTATACATCATTGATAGGAATACTGAGATCAAATATAAAAAAATACAACCATCAACATATTTCAAAATTGTTACTTTTTTGTAACATATCACATTTTTATATTAGTGCTACCAGTATTACAACATTAATATTCTAACTTATTTGTAACATTTGAACTTTTGATTTAGTGCAATATTTTGTACTGCCATTAGGGACTGCCAGTGAATGGCTGTTGCATGCATAAAATGCAACCTTTTTATTCTGACAGTGCATGATTTCAATTAACATTACAGAATAGAACATGATCAATATTATCTTTCAACGTTCAATTTAAATAATTGTAATTGCTATACAAACTATGTAGGCTACAATTTCAATTTGTTTATTGTGAAATAACTCAGACATTTGTTTTTTTTTCTGTCCTCTGATAAGTATTGTTCAGGGCTGCCATTCCCAAAAGCTTTAATGCTTTCTTATGATACTTTTGGGAAACGCAGCCCTGTTTGAATGCACTGTCAGCAGTGAGTGAATGCTCTCTGTGATTGATTGGTTCTGTCTTGCAACATTTGCGTGTGTTCAGATGAGCAGGAAAATAGTTCTATCCTACACAATATGCATTCAAAACACAAGAGCTTCAAAGGGGAGCTGTAACATAGCCACATATTTATAGCCTACTAAAATATAGGCTATTCGAACCAAATGTATAGGCTATATAGAGTTAGTATTAGTATAGGACTTCTTGTTTTATTACAGCCCATGGTAATTAATACATTACAAAAACATTGTAAAAATTAAAAATTAGGCTAAAAGAAAGTCATCCCACTCCTCTAAGTCTACTTCTATCATTGCTTGGATTACAGCGTCACGCGGCTTCTTTTTGGACGTGATTTTCTTCAATGAGGGGGAGGAACATTTGGCAAATTAAGCTGCAGCACTTATATTATTGCACTGGTTGGCTATTAACTCAAGCAGACAGAGTGTCATTCAGTGCATTGGAGAATACGGCGAACATAAATAAAGAAACAAAGTTGCTTGTCAGATTTCCCTAACAAGAAACCATATATATTTTTAAATAAGCCCAAAACCCGCAACTTTACAAAAAAAAAGGCCAAAGTTGCGTATAATATGCGGACTTGGCAACTATGGTGACTGAGCGTGTGTGTGCGTTAGATACAGAAGACAGCGCATTAGTTTAGAACTCTTCTCATTTGTATTTTTTAAACGTAGAGAGTGTGTTAATTTGTACAATGATAACCTACCAGCAATGTAAATATGATTTTTAAAAATGTATTAGAATGAGTACATTACAATATAAATTTATTATTACGTCATTATTTATGGGCTTAAAAACAAGATGCAAACAATCTGAATATTGTACCTGGTGGGGAGTGCCCAATGTAAACATGAAACATATGCCATTACCTATGAGTGTCATTCAGTGCATTGGAGAATACGGCGAACATAAATAAAGAAACAAAGTTGCTTGTCAGATTTCCCTAACAAGAAACCATATATATTTTTAAATAAGCCCAAAACCCGCAACTTTACAAAAAAAAAGGCCAAAGTTGCGTATAATATGCGGACTTGGCAACTATGGTGACTGAGCGTGTGTGTGCGTTAGATACAGAAGACAGCGCATTAGTTTAGAACTCTTCTCATTTGTATTTTTTAAACGTAGAGAGTGTGTTAATTTGTACAATGATAACCTACCAGCAATGTAAATATGATTTTTAAAAATGTATTAGAATGAGTACATTACAATAGAAATTTATTATTACGTCATTATTTATGGGCTTAAAAACAAGATGAAAACAATCTGAATATTGTACCTGGTGGGGAGTGCCCAATGTAAACATGAAACATATGCCATTACCTATATTGTACTGTGGTACAGTTATGGAGGTCCTTCATAATGCAGAGGTTAACTGTCTGCTCTGCCAATAGTTAGAAATGGCCCTATAGTATGCAGTATTTAATAAACAGCTGTTTTACTAAATTCTGCTGAGGTGAAATTCAGTGCAGTCCCGTATCGTGATACGTATCGTATCGTGACTTTGCTGGTGATACACAGCCCTAGTAACAATATGGTTGGAATCACTTTCAGAATAATTTTTTCCAGCCAATGAGTGAGAAAAACATTGATCAGCCAATCATTGATAGCCAATCAGAGCCCAACCTACTTCGAAGAGCTCAAGCATTTAAAATGGCAGACGACAACTGTGTGCTTATAATAAACAGAATTTGTACTACATAAACCACGTACGTGCTTTGCAAGGAGTTGGAAAATAAAATAAGTTGAACCCCTTAAAAGAAACTTTTTAATTTTATACTTATATATAAAATATACAAGTTTTTCATTAATGCAACCCTCTACATTGCAAGTAAATCACTCGCGAATAAATCTTCACTCTGGGCGACTAAATGATGTCTAATATTAGCCAATGGCTGATCAATTCTGAGATTTTACTCGCCAGTGTGTGAGTTGGAGGCTGAGTATATGATTAGCACAGATATATTTTCACTCACAGAACACTCTGACTGAGCGCTTCAGAGTTTCACTCCCCGTCAAGTGAGCTGTGATATTTTTCAGTTCATCTGAATGGATGCGCAGCGCACCTGTGTTTGTGTATTTTTTGCGTAATGTGTTTCTAGTTTCTCTCACATGCGCAAAGAGCGAGAGTCTTACATAACATGCAGAATTGATGCGCAACATGTAAACGATATACTTTGTTGTATTTTCCTGTCAAAATAACAGAGTTCCTTTGGAATTCTTCAGCTTTTAAGAACTGCCGGGTTTTCCTGTAGTAGGCGGAACTAATGCGCAAACGACAATCTCATTGGCTGGTCCTCATCTATTATCGTCTCTGTTTTGAGTTCAGCAAATCAGTTTGAGCGAATGTACACAACCTGATTAATATTCATGAATCCAGTAGCTCATTAATCCTTAGTGCGTTTTTATATTGTTCTTATTAGTAGAATTCGTATAATAATAATAATATCTCATCAGTATTATTGTTCGTTTTTTTTTTACAGGAACACTGAATGACCAAAAAAAGCACCAGCACCAGTCCTAAGTTCATGGTTACCAAGTTTTAATTCTAATTACTAAACTTCTATTATTAAATAATACTTGATTATCATATTATAATGCTTGACTGCTTGACTGACTGATATTAAGAATGTACCTTCAGATATTTAAAAAGCTGTACCATTTTACAAACATTATGTGTGTAAATACTAGTATAGTATTTCAGTCTGGCGAGTAAACTAAAAAATATACTAGCCAATGGCGATTCAATTGCCAAGGTGTCCATAGAGGGTTGTGAAGATATAGCTCTTGGTGAAAATGGGCCTTCATTTCTGGCTGTCTAATCGGATTGGCTGAGCAGTGTTCAAATACCTTTCACTGCTTACAGTATTACTCTAGTTTGCATTTCAGACCAAAGTATGTGAACAGTAAGGTAAAAACAGTAATGGTGGTAGGGCAAGCTCATATATTCAACTCTTTTTTTGATTATCCATTTAAAAGCAGGAGCTGTAATGTTGACTTTAATGTGAGTGTAATGCAGCTGGTACGAGGGACTGATATAAAGTACATACATAAAGAATATGTTTTTGTTTATAAGGCCTGGATCCACACTGTAATGTGAGGTTGCATCAGTAAACACATAGACAGTCTACTTACGAGGTGCTCCTTCAGCCATCTCTATAGCGGTGATTCCCAGAGACCAGATATCACTCTGTTGTAAAACAACAACAACAATGATTCATTCCAAGTCATATGCTATAGTACAACTGACCTGATATAAAAATAAATAAACGCACACAAACACTCAATCAATAGAAGAATTGCAATACTGTATCAAATAAAAATAAAGATCCAGTTAAAAAAAAGAAAATTAATAGCATTAACATTAATATTTGTACTGTTTATTTTGTATGAACATTAATGCATATCATGAGCTTAAAAGTGAAAAACAGAAGAAAATTTCCACTAAAGAGTAATATAGAGGAACCATTTCCTCTTCTACAAGCAGTCACAGACAATGCTCTGTGACGGTACTCATTCAAACCAAACAGAGAGAAAAGTGTTGTATTGAGTATCACTTCACTAAATAATGACCAAGCTAAATGTCACGTATAACAGGCTGACAGGTTTTTATGGCGATTAATACTAGTCCTACTTTAAAGGGTTAGTTCACCCAAAAATGAAAATTATGTCATTAATTACTCACCCTCATGTCGTTTCAAACTGAAATGTTCCCAAGTCCAGAAACATAGTAATGGTGGTAGGGCAAGCTCATATATTCAACTATTTTTGATTATCCATTTAAAAGCAGGAGCTGTAATGTTGACTTTAATGTGAGTGTAATGCAGCTGGTACGAGGAACCAGCTGGAGAAAGGAGATTTTACAGATCTCCTTGCTATGTTTCTGGACTTGGGAACATTTCAGTTGCATTGCTGTCTATGCAGGGTCAGACAGCTCTCAGATTCCATCAAAAATATCTTAATTTGTGTTCCGAAGATTAAAGAAGGTCTTACGGGTTTGAAACGACATGAGGGAGAGTAATTAATGACAGAATTTTCATTTTTGGGTGAACTAACCCTTTAAATCTAAAAAAAGCTGGTGATTGCACATATTCTATTATTGGGATTTATGAAAAGAAATACAAAAATTGGGCATATTTAAATTTTGGTAAACATGGCTTTATAGTGTTAAATTGATATCATTAAACCTTCCCATTTTATTGTTAGTAAATCACAAAAATCCTGTCCATGTAATAAAGGCGTTAGTTTTGGTATCAGAATCTGATAACAGGGCTTTATATGATCTCAATATAGCAACCACCATGAGAGGATGCAGATATTTCTAAACCACTGATCTGATAAACATGTTGTAATTTAATATACATTATATTAAAACTGAAAATGCTTAGTGACCCACACACAGGTGTACACAACCGTTTAAGAGTTTGGACTTAAAAAAATCTTACCAACCCCAAACTTTTGAACAGTGGTGTACATCAACAGTCAGAAGCTCATTTTACCCTGTAATCATAGGTGGAGTCGGGATTCTCATCACAGGCAATGACTTCTGGGGCCATCCAGTATGGAGTGCCAATGAAAGTGTTTCTCCTGCCGACTGTACGATCCAACTGTGCGCTCACCCCAAAGTCCACTACAGAGAGAGTGAGAAAGGAGGAAGCAATCAGGGTCTGTAATATTACAAGACACTTTGTGCTTACAAACAGAAACCTGTTGCACAGCCAAAATGTTTATATTCATCTATGCTAATTCCTTCTCTCTCACACACGCAGCCACACTCTTCCACTTCCGTCACACTCTCCCTCAGGTTGTGGTGTGTGAAGATATTTTTGTCACGGTGTCAGGCCTATATTAATGAGCTTTGGTGCATTGCTCTAGTTGTTAAAAGATGATGTTCTCTAATCAGACAGGATATAGGCTAGACCAGAGGTCCCCAACCACTGGGTCGCAGACCCACTGCCGGGCCGTGGAAGAATTGCTACCGGGTCGCAAGAACGTTCTGGGAAAAATGTGTATAGATATGACACTCTGTTATTTATTAATGTTAATGATTGTTCTAATTATTCTGTATTTCATGTTAAATAAGTAAATTAAAGATTGCTCTGATCTGTCACATATTAGGAGTTAACGGATCGCAGTCGATCCGTAATACTTATGGATGAGACCCTACCGTTCGGCACGCATGTGATTCGCAGATTAATTTGCCAATTTACACGTTCAAGCAATTTTAAACCACAAGAAGAGAAGCAATTCGTTACTCGCATGCTGTTCTCGCACACAATCAAAGTAAAGACGTGTTTCAGACAGCGCGGAAATACCAAGTTGCGTATACATACACATAAAATTAGCCTGTGTCAAAAACCCTTCATCTCCCCATACCCCAATATTAGCCCAGTGTATTCATTTGTTTTTAACTCACCAAGTTTAACCTCTGCATTCTCTGTAAGCAGTACATTCTGCCCCTTGATGTCTCTGTGGATGACTTTATGACCATGAAGGTGAGACAGACCCTGAGAAGCAGAGAGACAGTGTTTATTGGCTGCGCAGCATTACATGTAATTACATGAAACTAAAAGATTAACTTAAGCAAGGCTCCAGTTAAGTGTCATGGACCAGGCATGTAATGTAGATTTGTAACATGAATAAAATTAAAAAAAGGATAATTATTTATAATAAACACTGCAATATTCCATAAAAAATAAGAATTGTCAATTTTTATTTCATGGTAACTTCATGAGTCTCACTCGAAGTATTTCTCTGCAGATGTAAGCGATCCAGTCTTCTTTCAGAGAGTTGCCCTTTGTGTTCTTCACCAGGTCTGTAACTGAGCCGGCGCCGCAAAACTCCATCACCAACTAAACAAAAACACAAAATTTACATATATGAAACTGCAACCTGATACAGGCTATTTTTTCCAAATCAACAAGGTCCATGACCTCAAAATGTTATTTTTTCATGCTAAACCATTTCAATTAACGACAGACTATAGCTGTAATTGATCACGGTGTCTTGACGCTGCACTTTTTAGCAGGTCAGAAAGTTTATGGTGGTGATCATGTTTGAGGAAGCACAGACCCAGAGCTGGTCGTCGTGTCCGGGTGGACTTTTCTTCACAAAGGCTCCATAGTAGGTGGCGATGTTCCTATGGTGACTGTACTTCTTCAGCATGTTAATCTCAGCTTTAATTTCCTCCTCCTCTTCCTCAGTCACATCCATGACCTTTATGGCTGCCAGCTGACCCGTCTTAACATGACGACCCTGAAACAAAAAGAATTTCAATAGTAAGTAGCATAGAAATGAATACTTTACACAATTTGTTACTACACCATAATCAGCGTACTATATGGCATACTTTACCAAATGAGGCATAGAAGTATGAAGAAAATCTATGAATATACACTGACGTTCACAAGTTTGGGGTCAGTAATTTAAAATATTAAAATTATTTTGCAAGGAGACATTAAATTGATCAGAATTGACAGTAAAGATCTGTAATGTAATAAAATATTACCATTTCAAACATAGTTTCTATTCATCAAAGAATCTTGAAAAAAAGTCAGTAAGGTTTTCCACAAAAATGTTAAGCCGCAACTGTTTTCAATAATGATAAGTAATGTTTCTTGAGCACTAAATCTGCATGTTATAAGGATTTCTGAATAGGGATGTAATGATGCACCCCGAGCCGGCAGAAAATCTATAAAAACATGTGACGATTCAAGTCAGTTGTTAAACAAATCGCGATACAATTGGGGGTTTATATGAATGTATCTCTGAGGGGAACTGGCTGTCTTCAGAAAAGTTTAGATGGTATTTTCTTTTCGCACAGCACTGCTTTGTTTACAGCAATAAGCAATGAAATGCTGTATCGCTGCTGTTCCATAAGCGGCACCTGCTGTCAGAGTGAATTTGCGTCTCATTCAGTCCATCTGCTGTTTTTGTTTCGTTCAGATATATGTTTTATGTAGTATAGTTTCATAAAACTAAAGTCAGCCCATTCAGTTTTTTTGCTTCAGATTTCGAAATTATACAATCTAATTACAATCTAAATAACATGTATGCACCATCTTTGTTTGGATGGTGATTAAATTCAGTGGTTGCCCATATATAATTATATAGTTATTATTACCCCTATAATTATTTTTAAATGAAGAGAATTATTTGTATTAACAATTTATTTGTTTTGGGATTTGTTTAAAAATGTATTTATTATTATATATATTTTTTTACATATTTAAATTTCACATAGAAATGTGCAGAAATAATAAAAGGACAACTTTTTATTTATAATTTGTCTTAAAAATAATTTTGTAAAAAAAAAAATTGTGAGAGAATCATATCGTGAAATCAGTATCATGAATTGTACCACATTGTGAGTGAATCGTTACATCTCTATTTCTGAAGGAATTTTACATTTAAAATTAAATCATTTTAAAATATATTAAAATATGAAACAGAAATTGTAAAAAAAAACATATACTGTAATAATATTTTAAAATATTACTGTTTTTACATCAAAGAAACAATCGGTGAGCAAGTAGTATCTTCTTCTAAAAATATTAAGACATCTTACAGACCCCAAGCTTTTGAACACTATTGAGGAGCGAGAAACAAGGAACAAGGAGCGAGGAGAATCAGGATTAAAGGAACACTCCACTATTTTTGAAAATAGGCTCATTTTCCAACTCCCCTAGAGTTTAACAGTTGAGTTTTACCGTTTTCAAATCCATTCAGCCGATCTCCGGGTTTGGCGGTAGCACTTTTAGCTGTAGCTTAGCATAGATCATTGAATCTGATTAGACCACTAGCATCTCGCTCAAAAATGACCAAAGAGTTTCTATATTTTTTCTATTTAAAACTTTACTCTTCTGTAGATCATGTACTAAGGCAGACGGAAAATGAAAAGTAGCGATTTTCTAGGCCGATGTGGCGAGGAACTATACTCTCATTCCGGCGTAATAATCAAGGAACTTTATTGCCGTACCAATGATATTACGCAGCGCCTAAAAATAGGCTTATTGGAAGTTACCTAGCTGGGGACTATTTTCAGGCGCTGCTTAATATCATTGCGCCTGCAGCACCCAAAGCACGGCAGCAAAGTTCCTCGATTATTACGCCGGAATGAGAGTATAGTTTACTCTTTGGTCATTTTTGAGCAAGATGCTAACGGTCTAATCAGATTCAATGATCTATGCTAAGCTACAGCTAAAAGTGCTACCACCAGACCCGGAGATCGGCTGAATGGATTCGAAAACAGTAAAACTCAACTGTTTAACTCTAGGGGAGTTGGAAAACGAGCCTATTTACAAAAATAGTGGAGTGTTCCTTTAACAGTCTTTATTGACATCACAGGAATCACACGTAGGACACGGGGATCGACGTTCAAAACCGGACAGAGAATTCAAAACAGGAAACACCTTAAATACACAAGATATGACGAGGGGAAGGCGAGAAACATCTGGGATCAATAAACATAATAGGAACAGGAAACAGGAAGGACCAAATATGGGCATGGACATAACCTGGAGCACGTGGGGGAGCAAAACACACATGAAACAGAGTCTGACACTATTTCATCAGATGAAAAAGATTTATATTAAAGTTTTTTTAGTAACAGTATAACAGTATATTAATTAACCATCCAAAAATACTGAAGTAAAAACATAGCACTTTAAGAAATACCAAAGGTAGGCACATTGTATACACTGGCCTATAAACTGCATATTTAAAACACTAAATCTAAGCTGGATAAACTACCACACTATCTTACTACTACCCATAAACTACTCATGTTCGTCACACACCACATCCTTTATAACCTACAGTACACACCCATTGGAATCACACGTAGGACACGGGGATCGACGTTCAAAACCGGACAGAGAATTCAAAACAGGAAACACCTTAAATACACAAGATATGACGAGGGGAAGGCGAGAAACATCTGGGATCAATAAACATAATAGGAACAGGAAACAGGAAGGACCAAATATGGGCATGGACATAACCTGGAGCACGTGGGGGAGCAAAACACACATGAAACAGAGTCTGACACTATTTCATCAGATGAAAAAGATTTATATTAAAGTTTTTTTAGTAACAGTATAACAGTATATTAATTAACCATCCAAAAATACTGAAGTAAAAACATAGCACTTTAAGAAATACCAAAGGTAGGCACATTGTATACACTGGCCTATAAACTGCATATTTAAAACACTAAATCTAAGCTGGATAAACTACCTCACTATTTTTGGTCTACCTCACTATACTTACTACTACCCATAAACTACTCATGTTCGTCACACACCACATCCTTTATAACCTACAGTACATACACCAGTAAATAAACTACAGCCTCACTACAGCCTACAAATGACACATTATCCAAACAATACAGCTTGAAGTATAAATTACACCCTACACACTTTTTAAAGAAGGCTCATGTCATACATTGCAATAATTACAGAGGCCTATAAGTATAATATATGAGTCTATAAGTATAAAGACTTATTACACACTACAAGTCAAATTGTTTTCTTAAAAGTGTGTATTTTTCTATGTTAAAATACCTTTCCCAGCTTTACAGGTGCATCTCAATAAATTAGAATGTCGTGGAAAAGTTAATTTATTTCAGTAATTCAACTCAAATTGTGACCAAATATGGGCATGGACATAACCTGGAGCACGTGGGGGAGCAAAACACACATGAAACAGAGTCTGACACTATTTCATCAGATGAAAAAGATTTATATTAAAGTTTTTTTAGTAACAGTATAACAGTATATTAATTAACCATCCAAAAATACTGAAGTAAAAACATAGCACTTTAAGAAATACCAAAGGTAGGCACATTGTATACACTGGCCTATAAACTGCATATTTAAAACACTAAATCTAAGCTGGATAAACTACCACACTATCTTACTACTACCCATAAACTACTCATGTTCGTCACACACCACATCCTTTATAACCTACAGTACATACACCAGTAAATAAACTACAGCCTCACTACAGCCTACAAATGACACATTATCCAAACAATACAGCTTGAAGTATAAATTACACCCTACACACTTTTTAAAGAAGGCTCATGTCATACATTGCATTAATTACAGAGGCCTATAAGTATAATATATGAGTCTATAAGTATAAAGACTTATTACACACTACAAGTCAAATTGTTTTCTTAAAAGTGTGTATTTTTCTATGTTAAAATACCTTTCCCAGCTTTACAGGTGCATCTCAATAAATTAGAATGTCGTGGAAAAGTTAATTTATTTCAGTAATTCAACTCAAATTGTGAAACTCGTGTATTAAATAAATTCAATGCACACAGACTGAAGTTTTGTGTGCACACCTTGTGAAGGGTGTCAATGATTGTCTTCTGGACAACTGTCAGATCAGCAGTCTTCCCCATGATTGTGTAGCCTAGTGAACCAAACTGAGAGGCCATTTTGAAGGCTCAGGAAACCTTTGCAGGTGTTTTGAGTTGATTAACTGATTGGCATGTCACCATATTCTAATTTGTTGAGATCCAAAGACTTAAACTACTTCAGTCTGTGTGCATTTAATTGATTTAATACACGAGTTTCACAATTTGAGTTGAATTACTGAAATAAATGAACTTTTCCACGATCAGGTCTGAGCCCAGCTGCAGTGATCCGAGTTACTCCGTGTGGTACTGCACCATGCTGCGAGTACAATGACATTCTCACACATGCCCTCACGTACACATGCACACAACTGCTTTAAACCACTTCTGTCCTCTGTTACTCATGCAGCAGCAGCATCTCTAATCCACCTCCCACTGAACCCATCACTCTAGCTCTCAAACACACATGGCACATAACTTCATTCTTCTAAGAGCACAAATGGGAGTTTTATTTATCACTCGAGGAGTCATCTATTATTGCTGAGTAACAATAGGATAGCATTTACTGCTAACAAAACATTGCTGTGCCTCTTCCTCCCGCCCTCCATCTCGGTCTCACCTTGTACACTTGTCCATAGGTGCCGTTACCCACGACCTCCACCAGCTCGAAGATTCCTGCTGGGTCCTGGAAGAGAGAAACAATTTTTAGAATGGTAAAATCATTCAACCATGCTAATCCCACAAAATGAAGTTGATTTGGATTTACTCCACAATAGTTCTGTTTAATGCCAAAAAAAAAAAACCTTAAGAGGCTTAGACCAGAAACATTTGTTTAATAAACAAATTAAAGGGTTAGTTCACCCAAAAATGAAAATTAGCCCACAAATTACTCACCCTCAAGTCATCCTAGGTGTATATGACTTTCTTCTTTCAGACAAATTCAGTCGGAGTTATATTAAAAATTGTCTTTGATCTTTCAAGCTTTAATGCCACTCAGCGGGTGTGTCATGCATCAGTCCAAAAGAAGATAAATAAAAATCACCCATCCATAAAAATAAAAAAAAGTGTCTCACACGGCTCCGGGGGGTGAACAAAGGCCTACTGTAGCGAATCGATGCGTTTTTGTAAGAAAAATATTCATACTCAAAACATAATAATCACTTTAACGTAGCTTGCGACAACAGTCCTACATGCGGCTCTGGGCAGTATATTGACTTAAAATGCCCTATTTTACTGTCATGATGAGTGAATATTGTCAAAAAAATACCACACTAAATAGTGACTAAACACGACCCCTTTTAATACATGTTAACCAGGAGTCACTCTCATTTATAATTTGTACTCAGTTATTGACGAGTCGGCTGCGGTGCGGCCAACTGAATGCGCTGCTTCTCTGCCGCTCACTGCACAGAACAGACGCCGAGAGAGGCGACGCTTTTCCGGGAACGTCAGACCTCGCATTCGCGGGACAGCACTGGCGAAATCTTCCAACTGAACCATAACTAACGTTTATCCCAAAAAGTCGCTAGGTTTGTCAGTATGAATATTCTATGGAAGAAAGCCGCTAAAAGGGTCTGAAAGTTGCTAAATCTAGTGCTAAAGTCGCGCTCGTGTGTGTGTGAGATGCGGGAGCTAATGGCAGGGGGGCGGTGGATATTTGTGGCGGACAATGTGGATGAGTTCTTCTGTGTCATCACGTTCTATTAGTTCTACAGCTTCAGTTTCGGAAACTTTCACGCTTAGTAACACATACAGCTGTTCCCTCACCACAATGCAACAGTGAAAAGGGACCCCTTTCAAACAGTGTCGCGTTCCAAACGTTGTTTAAGCGACATAGCAATAAAGCAATACTGTATTGCAGTATTTAAAAAATTCATATCATAACAAAAATAAACACCGGTATTTGGTATACCGCCCAGCACTAGCTTGAAAGATCAAAGACAATTTTTAATATAACTCCAACTGGATTCGTCTGAAAGAAGAAAGTCATATACATCTAGGATGACTTGAGGGTGAGTAATTTGTGGGATAATTTTCATTTTTGGGTGAACTAAGCCTTTAACACCAATTATTCGATTTTATTTATGCCAGAACAAACAGTTTGTAAACACACCTTTTCGCAATAAGGTTTAGAATTTCTTTTGAAACATATCATTTGGCAAAGGAATTGAATTTATTTTCCCATATTTATTCTTTAAATGTATTAAAAGAACCGTTTAAGTTCCATTAGGTAAACAGAATTATTCAATCAAGTCTCGATAAAAAGTATTGACAGATAATTTATTTCCTTATTGTGATGCACATCCAAGTTAAAAGGATTAATGAAAAGAAAAAAAAAAAGTAGGACGGTGATCTATCCATCAGTTGGAGGCAGATTTGAAGGCGAGCTTGCAGTCAACTGAAAGAAAGGGGCCAGGTTTAGGCGACAAAATGAATAAAAATTAGAAGGTCAAAAGAAAATGTTAAAAAAAAAAAAAAAATGAAACCTATAATTTTTTGAGCTAAAAAAAAAGTCAAAAGACAATTTATGCCAATATTAGGTATTTGCTCTGGGTTTTATCAGAACTACACTCACTTATTCTGTCACTCGCAGTAAAAAACATGGAAACTCATGATTTGAAATGCACAATGATCAGGAAAGGATATGTTTCATGTCTTCAATCAAGCTTATTTTGATTATTTTTCTCTCTTACACAAATGGCTCCCTGCTGGCTCAGGATGGCAATGACAGAACCATGCTCAGCCATTGAGAACAAGACAAAGCGCCATCTTTTTACAAACTCCAGTGTTTAAAAAGGGAATTTATGCAGTACTGTCATGTATTAAGAATCATTATGACACTCTCAAGCAGCTTTATGTACCTCTTACGTGCAGCTTTAGCTGGGGAGCGCAGACAAAAACTAGAATGAGTAGAGGGTTAAAAACAGCCAGCGCAGCACATAAACACACAGTGTGTGATTCAATATGGCCTCGGTACAGCTCTGTGGGTGGACAAGGCTAATGTTCTTCCTAGCTCTCACACACACACCGCATACACACCACAATCATCTCACTCTCATCGGACTACAATAACTGCAATCTTTTTCTCCCTCATCCTCCTCATCTCTCTTTTTATGTCTTCCTCTCTTTCTCTCTCTCAAAGAGTTCTGGAGTGGCGAGCTGTAAGTGAGCAACACGCTCTTATGTGAACCATCAGTAAGAGGACGAATGGAAATGAGAACAAACACAAACGGGATAAAAAAAAACAACAAGACAGTTTATAACAAAATAATAATAACATGTCCAACATATATATTCTAGTGCCCTTATAATATTCAAACTGAGTTTACAAAGATCATCAAACGAAATTAGTCTATTCTCTAGAGAGCATCTGTCTCAGAGAAAGAGGGAGAGAGAGATGACACATAAGCAGAGAAAAGAATAAATGAGCTAATGAATAAAATGATAAACAGATAATAAAGCTTTCCCCTGGAGAATAAAGGAGGACAAATTGAGAAAGGAAAGACAAAGGGAAGGAAGTTTGCTGAAAAGGTTGCCTCTGGCTATTCAAAGAATGTGAAATGACTGAATTTAATATTAAAAATACAAGATAAATCTTATGATTCAGTGTATGTTTGTGAAAGTGATGAGTGACAGGACTGAACATAAACTAACATCCCAATGGAAAATATATGCCAATATATGCTAATGTTAACCAAAAACCCCATCTGAAACATACAAAAATATCATATCAAATTTAAAAATAAAAAAGCCACGCTAACAGAGAAATTATATTATCATAAAGGATAACGAGCTAATTGGTCTACAAAACCCATTTGAATACAAACCGTAACTGCAAATCAGTGAAGTGAATGGCATGTTTGGTAAGGTGACCTCATATAAATCTTGTTCACTGATATATGTTTGTATGACAAGATCATTCTCTTAATCTGAATTAATTTGAAAGATTACTGATTTCAAAGCACAGGAATAGATTAACATACATTATTATATTATTACCATATGTTGCACATGACAACATTACAATCAAGTCATTTATGATAAAAAAAAAGCATCTATCATGATGACTTGTTTTTTTTATTGTGAATTTTTCTTTTTCTTTTTTTGGATTATGCAACTGTATTAGTTCCTTCATGGATGTGCAGCTAAATTAACCCAGCTAGCCAACTTAGTATCTGCTACATAAACACCCTCATAAACCAACATAAAGTTGGAAAATATTCTGAACAGCATGCAGCTATCTTACTAGGGATGAAGCCAATGCCCATCAGATCCAGTCTACGGTTATCAATATTTAAGCATTACTAGATCAAGTTACATCATTAACCTGCAACCTCATGAATGCAGATAGTACCAATAAACATGAATAAATATTTGCTCCTTCCCAGTGTACAGCAAACCTCTGGCTTTATGCACATGTGTACTTCAGCTGGTTTATTCGACGGCTGGTTTTATTTTGATCAGCCAATGACAAGCTTCTGTTAAATTTGTCAGATCTTTCGAGTCATGCATATTCATTAGTTGGTGTTTACCCAGTAGCTTAGATCATTACTATTTAATATTTTGGTTTCTGTTATGATGTCATTAGCATTTATGTCTCCTTTACATATGCAACCCAACCATCAAACGGCTGCTGTTATGATTATGTAATGGACACATTTAAATATGAATTTACAAAATCCAGGCTTTAAATAACTTCACCTGCTTCAATGCCAAGTTTGATGCACTGGTAAGTCTAATGTTATTTAAAAGTGATCGCTACAAGAAGTGAAACCGAGATGACCACAGGTGAACTGGAGAGCAGGTCGTTCTCAAGTTCAAAATCAACACAAAAAAAGTCGCTAGGTTTGTCAGTATGAATATTCTATGGAAGAAAGCCGCTAAAAGGGTCTGAAAGTTGCTAAATCTAGTGCTAAAGTCGCGCTCGTGTGTGTGTGAGATGCGGGAGCTAATGGCAGGGGGGCGGTGGATATTTGTGGCGGACAATGTGGATGAGTTCTTCTGTGTCATCACGTTCTATTAGTTCTACAGCTTCAGTTTCGGAAACTTTCACGCTTAGTAACACATACAGCTGTTCCCTCACCACAATGCAACAGTGAAAAGGGACCCCTTTCAAACAGTGTCGCGTTCCAAACGTTGTTTAAGCGACATAGCAATAAAGCAATACTGTATTGCAGTATTTAAAAAATTCATATCATAACAAAAATAAACACCGGTATTTGGTATACCGCCCAGCACTAGCTTGAAAGATCAAAGACAATTTTTAATATAACTCCAACTGGATTCGTCTGAAAGAAGAAAGTCATATACATCTAGGATGACTTGAGGGTGAGTAATTTGTGGGATAATTTTCATTTTTGGGTGAACTAAGCCTTTAACACCAATTATTCGATTTTATTTATGCCAGAACAAACAGTTTGTAAACACACCTTTTCGCAATAAGGTTTAGAATTTCTTTTGAAACATATCATTTGGCAAAGGAATTGAATTTATTTTCCCATATTTATTCTTTAAATGTATTAAAAGAACCGTTTAAGTTCCATTAGGTAAACAGAATTATTCAATCAAGTCTCGATAAAAAGTATTGACAGATAATTTCTTTCCTTATTGTGATGCACATCCAAGTTAAAAGGATTAATGAAAAGAAAAAAAAAAAGTAGGACGGTGATCTATCCATCAGTTGGAGGCAGATTTGAAGGCGAGCTTGCAGTCAACTGAAAGAAAGGGGCCAGGTTTAGGCGACAAAATGAATAAAAATTAGAAGGTCAAAAGAAAATGTTCCAAAAAAAAAAAAAAATGAAACCTATAATTTTTTGAGCTAAAAAAAAAGTAAAAAGACAATTTATGCCAATATTAGGTATTTGCTCTGGGTTTTATCAGAACTACACTCACTTATTCTGTCACTCGCAGTAAAAAACATGGAAACTCATGATTTGAAATGCACAATGATCAGGAAAGGATATGTTTCATGTCTTCAATCAAGCTTATTTTGATTATTTTTCTCTCTTACACAAATGGCTCCCTGCTGGCTCAGGATGGCAATGACAGAACCATGCTCAGCCATTGAGAACAAGACAAAGCGCCATCTTTTTACAAACTCCAGTGTTTAAAAAGGGAATTTATGCAGTACTGTCATGTATTAAGAATCATTATGACACTCTCAAGCAGCTTTATGTACCTCTTACGTGCAGCTTTAGCTGGGGAGCGCAGACAAAAACTAGAATGAGTAGAGGGTTAAAAACAGCCAGCGCAGCACATAAACACACAGTGTGTGATTCAATATGGCCTCGGTACAGCTCTGTGGGTGGACAAGGCTAATGTTCTTCCTAGCTCTCACACACACACCGCATACACACCACGATCATCTCACTCTCATCGGACTACAATAACTGCAATCTTTTTCTCCCTCATCCTCCTCATCTCTCTTTTTATGTCTTCCTCTCTTTCTCTCTCTCAAAGAGTTCTGGAGTGGCGAGCTGTAAGTGAGCAACACGCTCTTATGTTAACCATCAGTAAGAGGACGAATGGAAATGAGAACAAACACAAACGGGATAAAAAAAAACAACAAGACAGTTTATAACAAAATAATAATAACATGTCCAACATATATATTCTAGTGCCCTTATAATATTCAAACTGAGTTTACAAAGATCATCAAACGAAATTAGTCTATTCTCTAGAGAGCATCGGTCTCAGAGAAAGAGGGAGAGAGAGATGACACATAAGCAGAGAAAAGAATAAATGAGCTAATGAATAAAATGATAAACAGATAATAAAGCTTTCCCCTGGAGAATAAAGGAGGACAAATTGAGAAAGGAAAGACAAAGGGAAGGAAGTTTGCTGAAAAGGTTGCCTCTGGCTATTCAAAGAATGTGAAATGACTGAATTTAATATTAAAAATACAAGATAAATCTTATGATTCAGTGTATGTTTGTGAAAGTGATGAGTGACAGGACTGAACATAAACTAACATCCCAATGGAAAATATATGCCAATATATGCTAATGTTAACCAAAAACCCCATCTGAAACATACAAAAATATCATATCAAATTTAAAAATAAAAAAGCCACGCTAACAGAGAAATTATATTATCATAAAGGATAACGAGCTAATTGGTCTACAAAACCCATTTGAATACAAACCGTAACTGCAAATCAGTGAAGTGAATGGCATGTTTGGTAAGGTGACCTCATATAAATCTTGTTCACTGATATATGTTTGTATGACAAGATCATTCTCTTAATCTGAATTAATTTGAAAGATTACTGATTTCAAAGCACAGGAATAGATTAACATACATTATTATATTATTACCATATGTTGCACATGACAACATTACAATCAAGTCATTTATGATAAAAAAAAAGCATCTATCATGATGACTTGTTTTTTTTATTGTGAATTTTTCTTTTTCTTTTTTTGGATTATGCAACTGTATTAGTTCCTTCATGGATGTGCAGCTAAATTAACCCAGCTAGCCAACTTAGTATCTGCTACATAAACACCCTCATAAACCAACATAAAGTTGGAAAATATTCTGAACAGCATGCAGCTATCTTACTAGGGATGAAGCCAATGCCCATCAGATCCAGTCTACGGTTATCAATATTTAAGCATTACTAGATCAAGTTACATCATTAACCTGCAACCTCATGAATGCAGATAGTACCAATAAACATGAATAAATATTTGCTCCTTCCCAGTGTACAGCAAACCTCTGGCTTTATGCACATGTGTACTTCAGCTGGTTTATTCGACGGCTGGTTTTATTTTGATCAGCCAATGACAAGCTTCTGTTAAATTTGTCAGATCTTTTGAGTCATGCATATTCATTAGTTGGTGTTTACCCAGTAGCTTAGATCATTACTATTTAATATTTTGGTTTCTGTTATGATGTCATTAGCATTTATGTCTCCTTTACATATGCAACCCAACCATCAAACGGCTGCTGTTATGATTATGTAATGGACACATTTAAATATGAATTTACAAAATCCAGGCTTTAAATAACTTCACCTGCTTCAATGCCAAGTTTGATGCACTGGTAAGTCTAATGTTATTTAAAAGTGATCGCTACAAGAAGTGAAACCGAGATGACCACAGGTGAACTGGAGAGCAGGTCGTTCTCAAGTTCAAAATCAACACAATGAAACTACAAACCACCTCAGTCGTGTGCAATTCTAGCTTGAGGGCCACATGTAAGGCAGACCTCTTGTGATAGTCTAAATGCCCCCCCTAAATGTGCGTCTATGAGACACAGTATGTGGGTGTTATATAGGACAGCTATCAAACAATGAGCTCAAGTGAATCATCGTGCTCCATCTCTCTCTCTAGGGGCAATATCAGACACATCACACCCTGGAAAGCTGTGCCCAGGAACTCACTGTACCAACACACATGAGAGAAGGAGAGTTACGGCCAGAGCTCTAACATATATGGCTTATTCACTAACACACTTAAATGCTTAAGTGTCAAAAGAGGGATGGATTGAGTCCTCTACTGTTCACTTCCAGTCCACAAGGCTCTTGTTTAGGAATGATGCATACCTAGGTATTCATAAACAACCAGAGTTATTATTAACTAAAACTATTAAAAATGTATTTGTTCATTAAAATAAATATTAATATTAGATGAAAAACTGTTAGAAATGTTGCTTTGGCAACTAACTAAATGACTGGAGAAGTCTGGCATACGTCACCAGAAGGAAATCTGTCATTTCACAGGAAGACTTACTTATGATATTTCGATTGAGGCTAAATGACAGGTAACTGCCATAAGTTTAAGTTGAACTACTAACTAGAAATAAATAAAACTAAAACTGAGTTCAAACTAAAAGAGAAATAAAAATTATTTAAACCTAAATAGCAATGTTTAAAAAAATGAGTAAAAATAAAACCATATAACACAATTACTAAAAAATTTAACTAAAATTAAAATGAAAACTGTAAATATAAAACTAAGTATAACTCACAAATATCAAAACGGACATTTAGTGAATGTTTTGGACCTTTGTGAATGGCAGTTAAGTTGCCTTTTCTATATGCAGGAACTCACCTAATTAGTGAGCGTAATTAGCCCTAAAACACTGGATTAGCCACCTGCTAACATACCACTAAAATAGATGACTAGATTAGCCTTCTGCTCGCACATTAACTACCCATTCTGGTAAACAACATATATTAGCCTCAGAATTGATAGCATATATATATATATACACATATACATACATACACACACACTACTGTTGAAAGGTTTTGAGTAAGACTTTTTAAAGAAAAAAATTATACTTTTAATTCAGACAAGACGCATTAAACTGATCCAATGTGACAGGAAAAGATGTATAATTTTACAAAGATTTCTATTTGAAATAAATTATGTTCTTTTTGAACATTCTATTCATCACAGAATCCTGCAAAAAAAATTATCATCGTTTCAACAAAAACATTATTTTAATTTAATTTTGTGTGTGTGTACGGTGGTGTATTAGGTAAGAAATTAATTGTTTTGCTCAAATACATTAGATTAGTTTCCTGCTAAAACAGACTTTGGTAAAAGATGATCATCTTGCTATGTAGTCTGGATTAATGTCAAGATGATAATCTGCCCACTTCTGCATAATAACTGGGCAACTCATTTTCTCCCTTCCCAAAACTGACTCAGTCGTTGCTGTAAAATTTTTATCCATTTACCAACACTTTCCAGCATCTGGTCTGCAGGGAATGTTGAGCTTTTTCTTTTAAATAAATAAAATAAAAGCCATAAAAAAAATCACAGCCCACTGAATCATTCTGTCACATTTGCATTATATGTAAACACAAATAGAGTGATGGACTACATGGAAAGCTAAACTAATGTTTTGCAGGGTATTCCCCATATAACAAGGGAGCTATTCTAAGATTGCAAAGCAAGTTTATTCAGTGTCAACACTTATTTGCAAGGTAGGCCCTCCCAAACCACAACTGTCCGTGTGCGAGTGAGAGAGAGAAACCTATACTTACTTACACACATACAGAAATGCATAAACACTCCAGGCCTGGATTATTAGATTACATGATACAGGCTCAAGACTCACCTGCTCGCAGAAAATAATCATTTGTGAGCTAAAAAAAAAACCTTTAAGATTATTATTAAAAGCTCTTCGATGTGTTGATATTGTCCCTCGTAGCCCATAATGATGGCACTGATCATACTGTAATGGATTTGTTTGGGTGTGAAGGCCTGTGGCAGGTGCAGGCAGGAGGACTCACCCGCAGGGCGCCCAGGTCGATGTCATCCAGACTCCGAGTAGGTGCGTTTTCTGACATTTTTACAGGTTTTCTTTAGCAGATTCAAAAGTGCAGCTACGACTGCGCTATTATTTGATCACAATGTTTATTTCAAGGGACAGTTCAGAAAAACTTGTGAGGTTCCCGGAGAAACATTTGGCTCGTCTCCGCCGCGACCCGTTTAACCGACAACAGCTGCAGGATTTCTGACCATAAAATGTTTGTTTCTTCTTTACTGGAGAACAAAAGGTTCTTTAAGGCCAAGCGATCCGGTTCTTCGAGTGATTGTTAGCCGGAGACGACCGAGAAATGCCTAGCGAGCATTAATCGATGAAAAAGGTTGAGATTGAGTCTATAATCCTGAAGACTGCATGGCAACATTTACACGAGCTTGAATCAGATCTGCCACCCTGCGCTCCGTCTCTACACTCATTTTGGCAGCACTGCGTAAATTAAGCCAAGCCTACCTCAGTCAAAAACAGTAGATTAATATATACACGAGCCGTATAAATCACTAAATAGGCAAATAAAGTGATAAATCAGAAGCCGAGCTCCTAAACAGCGGCGCTCGTGATATCCGCGTCAATCTGCCACAGCCGTGTGTTACGGCGCAACCCACGCACACGCCTTAAACAGGATTTCTGTGTTGATTTCGACCTCACTGCTCGGCTTAGTTAATGTCCACAGTTTTTAAAGTCTCCACGTTGTGTATAGGATTGAAATATGCAGTCCTGGTGTCAAAAACAAGACGTGTTTACGTCGAATAAAATTCCGCCCGCCTGGCAAACTTTCATTCCTCCTGCCGTCAGTCAGCGGCGCCTCCCGGGTGTGCGCAAACCCTCCGCCGATTTGTTGGAGAGAAAGAGAGGGAGAAGAACGGAAAACCATAAACAGTCCCTTGTTTTCAGCCCGGACCCTTTATGGCAGTGACTGGTCACGATGCATACATAATATTTATTATTATTCAGATATCCCCTAACGAGTCGCCTCGGGAATCAACTTTGTCCTTTTGCTGTAATGTTGTATATTTTGATGTGTCAGATTGAACTTCTCTGTCCTGTCTTGGTATGATCCTATTCCTACTTCTGCCGTCTGTGGTCGGGCTGTGACGTCTGCAAGAAAACACAACACTGTTTTCCAGCCACTTTGTTGTTTTTTCCTCCCTCCCCTGTACTTCTCATTCCCGTCTTCCTGGAGTGTTGAAGTGCTACGGTGTTACAACAGGGACAAACTACCTGAACTAGCTAGTTGCAATGGAGACGGGTGGTACCGGTGTAAAACCTTGCAGCATACAATCACACGTTGTTTTCTATCATTTTGGAGACTTTAAGTTGACTTCTATTGTTTTTATAGTATGTTGACCTCTTATAGTAAACCCTTACCATTCAGCTTACCTAACCCTCACACTTTAGCCCTAATTTATTAAGACATCATTTAGTATGTTTATTAAAGAGATATTTCACCCCCAAAAAAGAACATTCCATCATCATTTACTCACCTCATTACTGTACACTACTTTCTTTCTACTGTAGAACACAAAATAAGATATTTTAAGACATGAGTCTGTGTGTGTTCCATATTATGGAAGTCATCGATCAGCAAAACTGGTTTAGTTACCAGTGTTTGGAATGACATGAGGGTGAGTAAATGACTGAATTTTCATTTTAAAATAGTCCCTCCCTTAACTATCCCTTTAAGCAGTTTTCATTATGAGTACTGATTTGTCTTATTGTTTTTCTTTGAATTAACTTGGTTTCTATAATAGTCTCCCTCTACATTTTGTTTCACTTCATTTATTATATTCTGTTTCCGAGTTGCCTTGTGTTCACATTTTTGTGTTGTTCGCTCTGTAAAGTGACCTTGAGTTTAAGAAAAGTGCTGTATAAATAATTTAACGTTGCTGAGGACTATAGTCCTCACAATGTTTTGTGGGATTATTTAGTGCTCACAATAAAGTAGGCAAAACCACACACACACACACACGTTTACTTAGCTATCTAAATGTGGACATTGCATAGACTTATAAACTTCTCATGTGCACACGCTTCATGAACTCAGGATGAAAGCATGAGATGACAGAGAAAGTTGATGATCAGTGTCATGGTACCAACAAAGCCAGATTGGATTGATTTTGTTTCGTCAACTCAAAACTAATCCTGTAACCCTGAGTTTGTTCAGCTACCATCCATGGTACAAGCCCCTGAAGTAAATTAATACAAGTATATTTATTCACATGGAGAACAGATGGAGGAAAAATTTATTAATTGCTCAATGGTTTACAAACAACTGTGATATGTAATGGAGACAGTCATTAATCCAAAAATACATGTCGTACATCTAGAAAAAAAAAACACAAATCACGTATAAACCTTAGTCAGGGTATTGCACCAGATTTAATTTTTGACAGGAATGAAAATGAGGCTGTGAGGCTGTACAGTGTGTTCAATTGATTGTCCTGTTTAACAACATGCAATTTGTTCAGCTGACAAAACATCTTTCAAAAAAAAAAAAAAATTAATAAATCGTGAGTTTTGAAAATAACGTGATCTAGGACCTTTACAGAGTGCATGCTGTTCACAGCATCGTTTTCATCTGAAGAAAATTAAATTTGGCACCTACCCTAGGTAAGGCCTATACCAGATGTCCAAAAGCTGTGAAAACACAGTGTTAGACAAGATTCATTTAAGTGTTAGTTAATGAGTTCTGTTTGCTTTCTAAATAAAAGCAAAATTGTATGTAGGCCTGTCGCAATAATCAATATATCGATTTATCGCACAATATATGTACATGATCTCAATAATTTTTGGCGACGCAATATATCGCCCATATTTACTTAAAAATTAATGTCACCATGTTTTGTACTTTCCACTTGCGCCTGTGTCTTTTGCAGCTTCTCGTACATAACTTGGTGTAGTCATGAGGTGCTAGTTCAAATTTAAAAAATGCTTCTACAAACAAAGTTTCATCTGCAGATATGGCCTTGTTTAGGGATCTGTGTCTTTGTGCATACAGACATCTGACTGCTAAGTAGTGATTGTGTTTTTCAGCAATAGTGTGCACCCTTAATTTACAGAAAGAAAGAAGGTCAGGGAAACAGCTGTAGATAGAAAAATCTCCATACAAGTTCTTTGTGCATTTTCCTTTTTTTCTACTTTGCACTTTTTGTTAGAAAATGTTTATTTACTATTTATTCAGGTTTTTTAAGGCATCTAATATTTTGATACTTAATTTCCATGATCTAAATATTCTTAAAAATTAAAAGTTTGTTGTCATTTGGAAGTGTGTAGGCCTTCTTACATTATTATGCTGTTACATTATGAATATATATTCAGTGGCATAAAATGGTCTTTAAAATGACAATAATATCGCTTATCGCAATTGTTTCTGGAGCAATATATTGCACAACAAAAAGTTGTTATCGTGACAGGTCTAACTGTATGTTCTTGAAAAGTATAAAAATGTGCAAAAGCAGATATGTTAATATGTCTGAACAGGTATAGAGATTTAAAAAGATTTAAAAAGGCATAATTGTTAGTTCATAAAGGTGATTGCTTGATGTGATTGGAATGTTACAGTATATTAATAATTGTGTCTCTGGTGGTCAAACCACTAAAACATTGTCTTCAAGTGCAGGCAACATCATCTATAACATTCTACAGCATTACATAGGCAGATTAGTGATCGTTTACAAAGTGAGGCACTGACAAAATTAGCATTGCTTATCTGGCCTCCAGTGTGCTCTCTACTTGTGTCAACACCCCCTCCAAAAAACCGAAAGTGGAATCTTCTGGGCTGCTGACATTATTACATAACAATAATTTCTCCTGGTTGCCATGGAGATTGGGGGTGGGGGGGATTGCTAAATGTTGAGCTGTGACTCCCCCTGAATATCTCACGATGTTTGAAGCCCCACCTGATCCCTGCTCCATAACACTACCCCCTCTACCTGTATCAAAAAAACATTACATCATTTCTCTGACCAAGTACCCCAGCATACCACCCTCCACCGTTATCCATGTTTTTACGGTTTGTCTATTATTTTGTGCTTCTCGATCTTTTCCTCTCTTTCTTTCATTCTATCTCTCTCTCAGCAGCCAAGACCAAGTCAGCTCTTTATACCCGTCACCATAACAACCACAAATGTTCTGACAGATTTGCTGCCACTGCATTGGGAGGTGTAGTGCACACAAGAAAGAAATAAAGAGAGAGGGAAAAGAAGGTAAAGCAGCGCCATCCACCCACACACATTCACAACAATAAATGTACGTTCTGTTCCTCGGTCATCAAAAATACTCTCTTTCACCTTATTTGCTCTTCTTTACTCATTTGACATGCAGCGCTTTACATCCTCGGCCATCTTAATTACTCAGATCGTGACATTCATGGCCGTAATGGGCTTTTGGGGAGAACATTGTTGCCATTTCATTGCATCTTCATATAATTAACAAAAACACAGTGTGATTTTCCTAGTATAAACACGTTTATCTTCTCATACAAGATCATTTTGTTTTTCTACACCTGGGGTTCTCAACTCTGGTGCTCGAGGTCCACTTTCCTGCAGAGTTTAGCTCCAACCCTAATCAAACACACTTGAAGAAACTAACTAATCAAGGTCTTCAGGATGACTAAAAAGTTCCAGGCAGGTGAGTTTGATCAGGTTTGGAGCTAAACTCTGCAGGAAAGTGGACCTCGAGGGCCAGAGTTAAGAACCCCTGTTCCACACTAATTTGGGTTAGTGTTCATACCTAATCATTAACTTACTAGTATTACTTAAGTCCAAACCAAAATGGACAAAAAATGTGGCAGTTAACCACTGTAGCTTCCACCTTAGTAGATGTGTGATATTTTAAACTCTGAAGTCTTCAGTTTCACTGGCACACTTCAAAATATTTGACACTCTTCCCTCTTACGTCCACACTTCCATAGGAACCATTCCTTCTTTGCTTTTAAGTGGCGGGAGAAGGTACTCCTCGCACAGGAAGTGCAACGGGAAATGGACCAAGATGCCCTTGATGGCCTGTAGTTCTTCTTTGGCTTTCTCCGGGTCAGGAAGACCGAGGTTTTGAGCATTCACATGTTCTTGAAGCTCACGCAAGTTGCGGATGCAGTCCAGCGGAAGACATCGGAAGACCTTTAGTAATAAGAAAAGAGAATGCAGTATAAACACTGGCCTGATATTACAAAATGTATTACATCATTTATTTTAAAGCAAAAAGATTTTGGATATTCATAACTAGTATGTGCACCCATTGGGATCTCTGGTATTAGAGTTGGGAGAGTAAATATATGGGTAATGACAGCACAGAAGTGCTATTGTCTGAAGGCTTTACTGCAGGACTACTGCAAAATCAGCAAATCACAGTAACTGCAGGTTTGGCCGTAGTTTAGTCCTGCATTCAGTGCATTTGTATCAGTTCAAATCCTGTACAGTGACTTTAAATGAAAACCTTTAGTTAAAGACATCAAGTACATAAAATGGCATAGAGAGGGTGTGGGGAAAATCCAGAACACAGGTTCTGTCCCTCACCTTCTCATAAATGATGGCATTTGTTTGGGCGATTTTGTTCCAAACATCGTTGAAGAAATGATCACTGATTGGATCATCAATGTTCAGATTCGGGTCAGATTTTGCTCCGAGAAGTACGCTGAGGAAAAGAGGTAAAGGATGAATTTACAATTTAGACGAGTACAGTTCAGTTTAACAAAGTATTTAGAGAAGTGGTTCTCAGCATTTTTTCATTGTCCGAGACAATATTTAAAGCATTTTCAGACCTTGCTTGGTTAAACTATTACAATGTTGCATTTTCTGTGTGGTTTGGTTCACTTTCACATAGCAACACTTCAAAAGGGACCAAATCATGTTGATAAATATCACATGTGAGCAAAGTCTCCCCCCTCATTGGTCAGACTGTTTGTGAGCCATTTAGTTCTGGGATTCAGTTTATTACAACATTTCTGCAATTCAAGATGAATGGACTACAGCTCTTCCAAAACAGCATTCTCACCAAAAGAGTTCACTTAAAATCGAGGTGGTTTCATTTGCTTTTGGTTGCACAATCTCGGTCTCCATCTTATTTCAAACTTTAACCATATCATATCGAGAGCCAATTTAATAACATTTTACTTCATACATCAGGACCAAGATAACATAAAAAAATATATATATATCAAAAATGCGTTAAACTCATTTAGACTGCTACAGTGCACCCTCGGGGGGCGCTTTC